ACTCTTATCTCTATATATACTATCTAACAAGGGACTATGTGGCGATGTTCTATAGGACCTCCAATATGTGTTGACTTTGTAGGATACATGCGTTGAGTTACAAGGTAAGTTTTTCTACGTGTAGGCCACATAGTTAGCTTGGTCTTCAAGCTAACAACATGTGTGGTACATGGCCAACTTGTTGACCACGTTTCTAACTTAAAAAGTCAATTAAAGACACCTATAAAGTCAAAGTAGTGTCTATAAAGCTTCTAAGAAGCTTTTATAGAAGATATTATAAAATTAATTTGCTTTTACTTGCTTCTATTTACTTCTACCTATTTATATAGGTAATTACTTGCATATACGTGTATGTCCATGACAATTACCTATTCAAATAATAGCAAAGCAATAATTAAAAAGAAGCTTTGGTAACCAAAGCATTACAAGCAGTATATAACAAAGTTAATCAATTTGATAGAAGAGACATTTTAAAGTATCTAAGATGTTATGTATAAGAAATGGAATTAAATTGGATTTTGAAAAAGAAGATGATTGAACTATTTGGACTTATCATATTGTTGTAATGTAATATGACTTATAAGTAAAAAGGATGAAGAAATTATTTTATTATTGAAGGTCTTACTTCAAATATTTTAGAAAATTATCTTAGAAAATAAATAATAGCCTAAAGAAAGTAAAACTAAATATGTAAATGCTATCTTTTTACAAAATATGGTTCTACTTATTTTATAAGGCCATAAATAAGGCAAAAAAAGATAGATTAGAAAAATAAGAAATATGAATATATGTAAGAAGAAGTTAGAAGTTGATTTTAGCAAAAATTAAATCAAAAGAATAAAATTTGGTACCCAAAGAGGATGAATTATCAACCTAGGTCAAAATCAGACCTTAAGGCACAAAACTAAGCAATTACAGCAATTCCAAGATTTTTCTATAGATCAAAGAGTAAAGTTTGGGAGCAAACTTAATAAGATTTTTTTAAGAAATTCTTTTGAGTAATTTGAGTGATTTGAGTATGTGATGATATTATAAGTGTTTTGCAAAGTCATGGTTGTTTTAGGTGATTTTGAAGTTTGTGAAATAAAAAAGAATATTTTGTTTTGGATAATTATAAGTTTGGTAGTAAATCTACAGTTTAAATTTTGAAGACTTACAAAAATAAGTGTCTGAAATGTATGCTGTAAGTTTGAGCTTGATCAAATAGTTGAATTGAAGGTTATTGAATTTCAAGTAGGTTGAGGTCTCGAAAATTGGACTATGAGGGGCAATTAGGATTTCTAAGATCTTTAGCAATCTACTGATTAAATTAGAGTGAAATTTATGTGTAAAAGCAATAGATTTTATTTTAAATATATATATATATATATATATATATAATTTAAAAATAATTAAATAATTTAAAAAAGAGATATTGACATTGAAAGTTCAATATCCAGATTGGAGTAAGAGATTGGCCAATATTCAAGCAAGTTATATGATTTTTCTTCTATTTGGTAAATGCAATTATCTTCAAATTTTTTGTACTATTTTTTTACTAAGAAGTTAAAAGGTGTATAAATTTTCAAGCAAGATTAACAATTTAATCAATAGATATAAGATATCTAATGTGACTTAGGATTTGGTTTAAGATTTAGGATTTGTTTAGGATTTGATTTAGAATTTAGGGTTTGTTTAGAATTTGGTTTAAGATTTAGAATTTGTTTAAGATTTGGTTTAGGATTTAGTGTTTGTCTAAGATTTGGTTTAGGATTTAAGATTTGTCTAGGATTTTATTTACAATTTAATATTTACGTAGGATTTGGTTTAAGGTTTAGAGTTTGTCTAGGATTTGATTTAGGATTTAGAATTTATTTAGGGTTTGATTTAGGATTTAGGATTTGATTTAGGATTTAGTATTTATCTAAGACTTGGTTTAGGATTTAGGATTTAGAATTTAAGATTTATCTAGGGTTTGATTTTTAATTTAGGATTTATTCAAGATTTGATTTAAGATTTAAGATTTAAGATTTGTCCTAGGATTTGATTGAAGTCCATTAGAGTTTTAATTAGGGTTAAATTAGAACTTGATTGGGATTTATTTAAGATATATTTTTGATTATTCTAATATTTCTTTTGGATTTCTTAAGGATTTTTTTAAGATTTATTGTGAATTTCTTTTGAACTCCTTTAAGATTTTTTATTGTTTCTTTTGTAATTTCTTTAAGGTTTCTTTTGAATTTAAGGTAAGTATGTATAGTTGAGACATAATTTTCAAATCATATTATATATAAAGTGGTTGAAGCTTATTTTTACAATCCATATACATATGATGGCAATAAGACAATTACCACAACTTACTTAATATAGAATATAGATATGTCCATTGTTAGTTATTGTCAACCATGCAAATAGTAGGATGATGGATATAGTACATATTAAATATTTTCTTTGATTAGTCTCCAAATTATCAATTCTCATATAATTACATAATGTAGTATTTGCACATAGTATTTTTGCATAACAATATTTTCTTCTATCATATCTTAATAACATTCTACTTATAAAAACTTATAAATGTCTAAGTAGCATCTAACAACATCCAACAAGTGTAGTCTTTATAAAAAGAAAAAAAAAAAAGAAAAAAAAAAAAAATCAATTGATTTACTATTAATAACTAAATAAATCTCTTACTTTTAAGGTTGTCAAATATATTTCTTTGCTCCAATTTGTCAAACTAAAGATTGCAACAATACAAATTGCTAAAATTGTAAAAATTGCTGCAACAAAGATACCAATAGAAAATGGACACTAGCCACGCTCTGGAAAGTGCGATCACTTGGTCCCCACATTCATGGGAGTGCTGAGGTGGCCACCAACCTTCTGCAGCAAAATCTCCGCCACTGAAATCAAAGGATGTCGATGCCCCTCCTAGTAATGACAATAGGGCATTACGTCACATGGGAGTCAATGCCGAGTCTGCATTGATCCTAGGCAACCGAAACTCTCTCTGCAAGCGACAACAAATCCACACGACTGTTCAAGCAACATGCTGAGTCGCCTGTTCCAGTTTGCACAGTTGCGATCTGCAACGCAAGGTCGATCCACCGAGCCCAAGTCAAAGCCGCATTTTGTGATGCGTAACGATTGCGGTGGGTGAAGTGTAGCCAGTTGACTTGGTCATACACGTCAGATTCACCCACACTTCGAATTGGTGGTCGCTTAGTCCGTCGTCCCCTCCGTATTATAACTGTTGGGCCCCTGCTGCAAGTCTCTTACCGGCCAGCCTGACACCATTGCAAGTGTCATGGAGTCGTGAAACTAGCCAAAGAGAAAATGAAAGCCTACCATTTCTTCAGTGCCCTGAGCACCATTATGAACAAACCTGGCAATCGACCCTTCCGGATGATTAACATCTTGACCTGGTTTGAGCGGTACCTCTTACAGAGGCTGCCAGTGGCAGTGATGTGGGTTGAGTGGACGCTCTTCACAACCTCGACAGAGTCCAAAAGGCTACGGTTATAGTGAAGCAGTCCACTCCCAATTGTAGTGTATGCTCACCCAAGCCTATGCTCCGCACTGTTTGCAGTATAGTATGTTGCAGGAGTTGACTCCATGAGCTGGGGATTTTGCAAAATCTCCCTAGCGCCATGAAATACCTCCACGTGCCGATGATACTTCACAGTATGCCACGACTCCAAGTGTTCATGGGCCGACATAATGACCGTTTACAACTGTGGAAGTAGTGATGAGATCCACAAGTGGGTGGCAGCTTAAATACCATTCGAAGAGCGCTCAACACAATGGCATGAGCATGGAACTAATCAGAAATCGCCTGGCTGCTTGCATCTAACCCAAGAGCTTCTGTTCGATGATTACCATAGACTTTTGTATCTTAATCACAACCGAAGATGTGCATCGATCAGGTGAAGGTCGTGGGTATTGTCAAATTACCTCACTCACTTTTCAGATGACATGTATCTGCGCCAGAAACGGACGTAATAATTTTGGGTCAAATCCTGTACAGACAATTCTCTGCCCAGTTTTATAATGTTTCTCGATGTGCAAGGTGACAACTTGATTTAGTTTGACCTGATTCATGGAAGTACAAAGGCACTCATTTCCTGCCGTATACTGGAGAGTACATTCATTGTGGCTGGTGCACAGTGGATTGTTGAAATGTCTCACAGTGAAGGAGTTAACAAGGGTCTAATTGTTTGTGTAAAGTTCCGCTCCACGGTCGACTACGACTTCTCACTTGAGTTGCAGAGTGGGCGGTCAGACCCTAAAAGCGACCAAGTCAATTGGTCGACTGTATGTTCCTGCACCAAGAGTCAGGACAGAGCCACACAGCGACACAGCTCTCTTTAAGAGAGTTCAGACCTAAAAGCCTCTCTGAATGGCCTTGCACATCAAGATGACATGCAGTACTTTATCTGACAGACGTTGAAAACCTCGCATGCAGTTCTAAAGTTTGCGTCCATGCCTTCCTGGTTGATGAGTCAAAAATTGCTCCACAATTGATTAGATCACATGCTTGTGCATTCAACGAGGACTCGAAGCAACTGTTACAGGCTCACGTGAGGGTCCCAGTTCTCAAACTGGCTTCAAAATTTATTAGTAAGCGTGTCAAGGGAGGTGAGTGTAATGGCGGCTAAAATCGAGCAATCAATCAGCCCAAGTTATTGAAGTTTAATTCTTCGGAGCAATTCAAGTCTGCACAAGCAGCTTGAGATGTTACCACCGCTTGCGTGACGGACGCCGCCGGAGGTGATTTAGCTCGGAACGTTACGTTACCTGATGAATATTGCAGAGCCATTCTTGATAAGAGCAATTGAAAGTTTTGAGTAGTCTCACGGGAGAATCGCGGCCGCTTTTCTGGAAGAGTGTGGCTGGAGTGGATGTTAGGATGCAGCTGTCAGAGTATTGTAGCTGAGGGAGGAAGGGGGAAGGAATATCAGGTAAGCGACGCGGAAAATTGGTCAAAGCGGGAAAAAGGTTAACAGGGAAGGACGCAGATGTGGATTTCGCAAAGCTCTTTTCTTTTTATTTTCAGTCAAAGCTTGAAAATTGTATGATTGAAGTAATGGCGACTTGTTTCGGCCAGATGTAACCTTGTGTTACATTCCAAGCAGCGGTGTTCTCGACCAGCAGCGTGCTCCTAATTGAGGCGCGGCTACATTTCGTCTCATTAACGTAAACCCCAACACCAATCCTACCGATTGATGGAAAAAAAAAAAAAAAAAAAAAAAAGTAAACAAAACGTAATAGGAAGCCAATTCTACAAGTCGGGGGCAAGGCCGTTTTTAATCTGATGTACTAGTGCTATTCAATGTGACCAAGGGCGCGGTAATCATGGCGCCCGAAAAGAATGAAGAGTAATGTGACGCTCCAAGATGATCAATGACTTGGTCTTCGAACAAATGAACTGGAGCGGGCGTCGACTCTTAGAACTAGAAAAAGAACTATCTTAAAAAATTACACTAACTCGGTGCTAAATCGCAGCTGCCTCATATCTCGCTTGTTGACGATGCGAGATTCGTCAGCGGGTCTGCAAGTGTAGCTGCCCCAGACCTCGTTGAGGAGCTTCAAGCTGTCGCGGGCTTTTTGCTTTGTGCGTTGGCTGCACTCACTGGGTAGTAACACGAGCAGGTTGGTAAAAGCGCCTGCCTGCAGCGCCGTGTTGATAACATTTCGGTTGGAGGCATAAGAGAGAACCACCCACAGGGTAGACACAGCGCACTCCGTCACGCGTTGAGAGACGCCCAGCATTGATTTGACGATCATAGGGATGGCCGTGGCATGGTTGGATATTGCTTCCCGACCTTCAGCGCAGTTGGCCATAATCTCCAGAACTTCAAATGCCAAATCCTTATTTCGTTTCTCAGTGTTTGGAAGAAGCTCCACCAGAACGCTTAATGCTCGGCACTCAATAGCTATGACGCGGTTCCTCCGAGGAAGGCAGACGGATAACAAGCACCGCAAACCTGCTTGAACTACCCTCGGATACAAATTCTCCTTGAGGAGATCTACGAATGCTTCGATAGCTCCAGGAAGATCACCCACCGCGATTTTCAAATGAGGATCCTCTTCACAAAGGGTATGAATAACGTCGGCAGCGTTAGCCTTGGCTTCGAGGCTTCCAGAAGCGAGGACAAATGCCAAACACGCCAATGACTTCGGGGCAGCTAGCGCCTTCTTGTCGCCATCGCCGACCCGCATTAGCGCAATTATGGCCAACACATCTTCGCAAGCCTCTTCCCGGTCCCTGTTGCAACGCGAAGAGTAGCACATATCCACCCCAAGTTGAGCCAAAGCTTCAGCAAGGATGGGAACCGCCCCAATTTCCTCGATACATTTTCTGTTCCGCTCACTCTCTTTAGCTAAGCTCCACAGCTTCTTCAAGGAATTGTATCCCGCCGTTTCACATTGACCGATATCGGCTAGCAACTGCTTCACCTTCTCGGTCTGCAGAGGCGCCTTCGGCGTGGGGATTCGCTCCACGCCGTATGCTTTATTCGCGACACACCAATTCTGAATGAGACGTCGGAGAGTGTGATTCGGAATGAGCTCCTGGTTCTCGAGCACCTGATTAGTCCCAGGGCAGGTGTTATTCCCGAATTCAAGCCACCTCTCGATACTTGACCGGTCGAACGTCATTCCTGTGCTCAGCGTCACGGGATCCCGCATCAGCTCTAGCGAAATCGGACACAGAAAAAACGCCGGGACGACCACTTGCTGCGGCACTTGAAGCGTCAAGAGCGCCCTCTCCGGCGCATGCAGGCCGGAGCCCAGCGCCATGTCAAACCCCATGCACTAACAATCCCCACACCACTCTTCAAAACATCCACACATCCAAAAACCCAGTCTCCCTCCTTCACGAACACACTTCCGCTCGCTCGTCCCTCTTGCAACCCCCACCTTCAACTACACGTTCGGCAATCAATCACACCACGCAGTCAACCAACCAACCAACCAACCAACCAACCCACCATGGTCTCCACAGCCTAAACCCATATCTCACTCTCGTCCAACATCTCCACCTGCGAGGCTCACCCACTTCAATTCCCAGGTCTCAACACCCCCTTGTGAACGCCATCCATCTCCTCAGCACCGCACTACCCACAAAACTGGCAACACAACTAGATTCCCTGCGTCTTCAGAGATCTATCATGCCCTTAACGTTGAATGGCTGTTAAGGACGGGATAAAAGGAGTTGTTATAATTCTGGTGAGGACGGAAACAAGGAGGAAGAGGAGGAGCAGGTGGAGGAGTTCCAGTGATGAAGTAAGTAAGTAAGTAAGTAAATAAGTAAGCAAGCAAGTAGATGAGTCCAGCAACTGGCAGAAAAAACACTGCTGTGATATCATATACTCCCTTCTCTTCCCTTCCCTCTCTCTCTCTCCCTGTTAGCGACCAGGGCTCCCCACCAAGTCAACCCCTACTACTATTACTACTTCTACTCTCCTCCTCCTTACCCACATAATCCACTACTTTCTGCGGTGACCGGACCTTCTATGCCTATTACCGCCCCCCCCCCCCTCCCCTTCTGGCTTTGGCACAGGGTGTCTATCACATCGGGAGGGGGGGGACTTGCCTTGGGTGTGGGTTTTGTTTCGTTGTACGTTGTTGTATAATAATGGTCGTGATATTCATACTAATAATAATAATAATAATAGTTAGTAGTAGTGACGCTTATGAAGTCTGTATCCTTCGGAGCTTGGCATGTCTGTATGCTTATAAAGAGAATGAAGGCCAGGGAAGATTGAGTTGTGTTTGAAAGATTTTGTAGTTCTCTACTGGAAAATAATCTTTTGGGTAATGATGTTTTTTTCTTACATGTTTATGCATTTGGTCTTCATTAGATTAATCATATAATATTGCATGTAAATTTTGTACATTAGATTTAATAATAATATGCATGTTGCATGTGTAATTAATATCTTGAATTTCATAAAAAAAATTAGTTACTTCTCCTTTAGAAATGTTAGTGTCTTTACGGTATTACATTTTTATTCTTTTCATAGAGTTTTCTAAGAGTTTCATGGTCATTTACAAAATCATAATCTATATTCTCTTATGAACTAACCAAAAGATAAAATAAAATGAAATAAACATATAAAAAAGAGGGGGGGGGATGAAACAAAAAGAGACCATCTTCTTAAATACTTTACAATATCGGTTTTCTAATTATACCATCTAATATGAAAATTAAGACTCATTAGCTAACCAAATTTGTATATTTGTTTTTAAAATTTTATAACCACAAACTATATAAAAATGTGGATTTTTAAATTTTTTAGTGTTTACATAATATATTCATTTAAAGTTAACTGCATTTATTAATTACTCACTTGTATGTAAAAATTTAATTAAAAAAATGGATACGTAAAGTTTCAAAATAAATGAATTGTACAATAAAAGATGATTTTGTTAACTTGAAATATTACTATTATTCTAAGATGGATTGATAGTATTTTTAACACACCTTACATTCAAAAAAACATTGAACAAAAGTATTGTGCTTGATATTATTAATGCAATTATTACTAAAATTCCAAATAACTGAATAATGTATTTACAACATCAAGAAGCAACCCAGGCAATAAGAAAATGATGTGAATCAAATATGTATTCAAATAAGAGATATTTTTTAAAAAAATTACCAAGGGTATGTTGCTGAACCATTTATTTAAATTTTTTGAGACGGATTATGAAGCTTGCATCCAAAAATTAATAAAGTAAAATCATACAAACTCAAAACTGTTTTCACATTTCACTTCAAAATAATTAAATAAAAACATCAATAATAGAAACACCAAAATTTATAGTAATAAATCAAAATAATAAGAATATTTTCGGTTATTTATTTATTTATTTATTTATTTATTTGTAATTTTTGATAATCTAAAAATAAAAAATTTAAGAAACATACACATGTGTTAACAATAATACCAATAACAAATTACAAGAATAACAAGGTGAAGGAATTTCATGCCTTTCGCATGAAGAGCGCTGAAAGTCCGAAGAAAGAAAAAGAAAAGAAGAAAAAGAAACTAAGAAAAAGCATAACTCGATAAAGACAATGTAATATGATTACACAATTGGAAGGAAAGAAAAAGAAGGAAGAAAAAAGAAGGAAGGGAGGAAGGAAGGTTCAGTTGACTTCCTCTTAATTCTAATACACTCTGCTGCAACTCCACTGCGACTAATATTCTTCCCTTTCGTCCCCCATCACAATAGCCAATCATCCGCACTAGGTACCTACCTATCTACCTACCTACCAAGTGCAGCCGGTAGGGTTGAAGTGGCACCTGAAGACACAACGGGCAGTGCAGGCTGACTTGGATGACTGGGCGGTGACAGGGGGCGATGACTTTTTGCCATAAGAGAAGGAAGGCGCGAGGAAGGTGCGGGCCACTGTCAAGTCAACCTGGTGTTGAGTTGCTTGCAGACGAAAGCAGAATGGAATTAAACTCGAGCCGCTTCTTCTTCTTCTGCTGTTTCTAATTTTTCTATTTCTTTTTTTCCTTGAGAGTTTCTCTCTCCTTTACTCTGATTCTAGCTTTCTTTTTGCATTTGCAACTAGCTTCTGCATGTGTGGCTCGGAGTTCCCACAGTGGCTTTCTTTAGATCAGTGTCTATTGCACACTAATTCAAAATCAGAAAAGAGATGCTGAACCTGCGGACCCACAGGAGAATCTGTAGCAGACTCCCCCCCCCCCCTCTCTCACTTTCAAGCTCTATTTTACCTCCCCTCCCCGTTTTATTTTTTTAAAATTGAAATGTATTATAATTAATCTTTTGACTTATTAACAGTAAAAATAAAGAAACCTGTAACGTGGTGATTCATGGAAGAATGATTGAGAGAGTGAGAGAGATGGATGGATGATTCCTAAGCAGTGAAGGAGTTACTTGTTTCTTTAACACCCTGGGCTGTGCATATAGATTCATGTAAAAACTATACATATATATATATATATATATATATATGTAGTATTTTGAGGATACAATGGTGTGTGTGTGTGTGTGTGTGTGTGTTTTTCTTTTCTTTTTCTTTTCTTCCTTCTTTCCTTCCCCAGCAAGCATACACAAGATTTTAATTTCCAATATAATTGTTTTGCAGGTTTGAGTATTGATTGGTGAAAAATTAGCTAAAAGTGTGATAGTCGTTTGTTTAATTTGAATTTGATTTGATTTGATTTGATTTTTTTTTTTTTTTTTAATTTTTTTATCAAGGACTTCCAATTTTGATCGTCACTATTTTTTAAGAAATTTGAATCAACTTACAATTTAAAAGAATATATAAAAATAAATTCATAATGTATAAAAACATAGTTTCTGCACATGTGCAGCACTAGAGACAATACTTATGCTCTCTCTTTTTATTTATTTGATTCTTGCTTGTCAAGTTGCATGCATTGTCAACTAATTCATCTTTTCTCCTAAGGTTCCTTTATTCTTCTTGCTATGATTGCACTCTTTCAACTTGTACAATTCACATACATCTTCTTCCACTTGCCCTTTTTAAAAAGGATCTCATCTTAGTTAATTTTTATCACAGTCACTTTCTCCATCCACCATGCAAGGAAAGAATGTAATCTGGACTGAAAGCTTCAGATACATGTAAAGAGCAGGCAAGTCTTGTCCACAGCTATACTTGCTGAAGAAGTATGTATCATGTTACTTGAGTAAAGGAAGGAAAGAAATGAAACACACACCCTTCTAACTATCTGACATGCACTGAATTTCTGATTTTTGTTACTTTTATAGAGTTTTTGTCCATTCAAAATTAGTGATTGAGTGTTTCTGTGCAACAAAAACAAGGCAATTGATTCCAGATTATTATGAGTTCTAATTTGGACAGAGTACATTAATAATAAATAAAGGAGACCACTGAAAAAGAAGGAAGGAAAAAACATTCTAGAGGTGAATGTGATGCGTTGATGCATATGTCAGCTCTTTTTGTCTGAAGCCAGCTTCAACTTCCTCTTTATGAATGAGTGGGAAGTCTGGATTTTATGCATCATTGTTACTATTATTATCAAAGTGGCCATGACTCCTCTTGAGTAGAGGCCCAAATGAATGTTTTATTTACAGATAGATAAATAGAGAGAAAACATAAGGAAGGGCAAAGTGTTTTCAAGTATCTCAGCCCTGATTGAAGGGGCCTGCCTCACCAGGCTGCCAGGGGCCCCACTCTTTGCAGGAGGTAGGGAGTAGTTGATCACACTGCAGCTTGGACATAGGAATAGCAGCCAAAATAAGCCAAGTGAAGCCAATCTCCTTTGTCAGATTGGATCACACATTCAAGTCCACAACAATCAGAATATTACTAGGTCAGCATGCCCCCATCCCCCAACTTCAGGTTCTCCTGTTCCTTCATTTGGAGGTCTGGAACTCTTGTGGCTAATGTGCCATGATCTTGTCTTTTTGAATTCTAAAACGGTGACATTAATATTTTAGTCTAAATAAACAAATACATTTATTTTCAAACACATACACATGTGAATGCTTTTGTTTTCTATTTTTCAATCTATTGGTATTGATCACCCTGGTACTAGTGATGGAGTTCTCATTTTGTAATTCTTCAATGAAATGGGTCCAATTATGATTTCAACCACTTCCAGGACTACTACTACTACTACTACTAATATTTTTAATTATAATAAACAATACAAATGGACAGTTACAAGTGCACTTAGAACAGAAAGCCCTGATCAAACATCTTTTATTTTTATTTTTCATAATGGGTGGGGGCACCATTGTCATGACCCATGAGTATCTCTGAACATCCATACAAAGACTTCAAGCCTATTAGTTAAAAAGTAGAAGGCTAGAGTTTCAGAGGGTTCTCAATCTAAATGATGCACTGTGAGACTTGTATGACAGCTTGCAACTCTGTACTTTTGGAGAACCACAAAGCTGGACACTTCAACCATATGTCCTACACCCACACAAGCACAGCAGCAAGATGGGGAAGTCCTTACAAACATGCCCTTTGCAGAAGTTTAGGGTTAAAAGAAACCCTTATCAAACTTGGAAACTAGATTTAAATTAATAGGAGTGTACATCAGATGGGTGACAATCACAAAGCACTCACTAGCAGTTTCCCATTGATGTTGAGTAAAGCATGGTTTGTGATTGGAGCTGGGGTTTTGACTTAGTCAAGGGGGTATGAATCCCATGGGGGTGCCTCCTTTGGGGTACCAAAACTGTGACTCAAGAGGCATGTGAACCTTGGACACAAAATGAGGGATTTGTGCACCTAAATCTCATGGCCCATGGATCACAGTATGTAAGCCTAGCAGAGTGTGCAGCAGAGCCACTTCTCCAGATGTTGCTGTCCTTGTCAAGCTTATATCACTCCATTGGAGAAAGTCAATGAAGCAACCCCCTTCCAGTTCAAAACCATTTTCACATGGTCAGAGATG